CCATGGCACCTCCTTCATTGAAATAGCCAAGAGTTTCTCATTGGGGAAGGAGTCATTGATTTCAAGGCCATCATGCGGCCTCCCCTCCTCCTCCAAACGAGACAAGTGGTCCGCCACTTGGTTTTCACTTCCTTTTCTATCTTGGATGTCAATGTCAAATTCTTGCAAAAAAAGCACCCATCTCATCAATCGAGCTTTGGAATCTTTCTTGCTCATAAGATAACAAAGTGCCGCATGATCCGTGTGGCCAATCACTTTAGCACCCATCAAGTACGGGCGTAACTTCTCAATAGCAAACACAATGGCAATGAGCTCTTTCTATGTAACGATATAATTGCTTGGGCGCTATTCATGGTCTTACTAGCATAGTAGACCGGATGAAAAATCTAGTTGATGCGTTGCCTCAAAACAGCCCCCACTGCTACGTCACTAGCATCACACATGAGCTCAAAAGGGATACTCCAATTTGGAGCGGTAATGATGGGAGTATAGTCAGCTTGAACTTTAGCAATTCAAAAGCTATCACGCAATCATCATTGAAGTTAAACTTATCATCCTTCTCGAGAAGCTTGCACAACGGGTTCACCACCTTAGAAAAATCTTTGATGAAGTGCCGGTAAAACCCTGCGTGACCCAAGAAACTCCGCACACCCTTTACCGAAGTTGGAGGTGGAATTTAGAAATCACTTCAATCTTTGCCGTGTCAACATCAATTCCATTCTTTGAGATCTTTTGTCTAAGGACAATGCCCTCCTCAACCATGAAGTGACATTTCTCCCAATTTAGCACCAAATTTGTTTCTTCACATCTTTCCAACACTTTATCCAAGTTTGCAAGACAATCATCAAAAGAATTCCCGATCACCGAGAATTCATCCATGAAAATTCAAGGTAATCCTCCACCATGTCCGTGAAAATAGCCATCATACACCTTTGAGAAGTCGCCGGTGCATTGCACAAACCAATTGGCATCCTCTTGAAGGCGAAAGTACCATAGGGACATGTAAATGTTGCTTTCTCTTTATCCTCCGGAGCGATAAGAATTTGGTATCAAGAAATCAATAAAAAGCACGTCCGGCCAATCTATCAAGCATTTGATGTAGTAAGGGAAGCGGAAAATGATCCTTCCTTGTGACTTTGTTGAGCTTGCGATAGTCCATGCATACTCTCCAACCGGTCACCGTTCTTGTAGGAATCAACTCATTCTTGTCATTGGTGACCAACTTCATGCCTTCCTTCTTTGGGACACATTGAATAGGAGAAGTCCACGAACTATCGAAAATGGAGTAAACAACCCCGGCATCCAACCACTTGATGATCTCTTTTTTGACAACCTCTTGCATGGCCTCATTGAGTCTCCTTTAATGTTCAATAGATGGTTTGGCACCTTCCTCCAAGTTAATCTTGTGCATGCAAAAGGCAGGGCTTATTCCCCGAATATCCGCCAATGTCCACCCAATATCCTTCTTCCTCTTTTGTAGCACCGCCAATGTAGAATCTATCTGCACGTTAGTCAAACAAGAGGAAAGAATAACTGGTAAAGTAGAAGAAGGGCCAAGAAATTCATACCGAAGATGTGGAGGCAGTGGCTTCAACTCCAAGGTAGGAGGCTCTTCAGTTGAAGGCTTTGTAGGAGGAATTGTCCTATTTTTCAAGATCCAAGAACAATTTTCGGGGTTCATAGGTGTACGACCACATTCCTTACAAAGAGTTCACACATTCCACGAAGCCATCCATCTCGTCATCATCAAAGTTGAGAAAGACGGCCTCCAACATGTCACCGACATTGATCACTGCACATATTTCATCCACAATCACATCGGTCACCAAGTCTACAAAAGAGCACACCTCATTCCTATCAGGTTGCTTCATGAATTACACACATGGAAAATCACTTTTTCACCACCAAACTAGAAAGTAAGTTCTCTGGCTTCAACATCACAAAGAGCCTTCTCCGTAGCAAGGAAAGGTCTCCCAAGAATAATCGGCACCTCATAATCAACCTCACAATCTAGAATGACAAAATCCTTCGGAAAAATGAATTTATCAACACGAACCAAGACATCTTCAATCACTCCCAAAGGTCTCTCCGTGGTATAATCGGTCATCTGCAATCTCATAGAGGTGGGCCTAGGTTGCCTAATTCCCAATGTCCTGAAAACCAAATAGGGCATCAAATTGATACTTTCCCCAAGATCACAAAGAGATTTAGCAAACTCGGCACTTCCAATTGTACAAGGAATCGTTAAAGCACCGGGATCCTCGAACTTGGGAGCCATTGAATGCACAATTGCACTCACTTGATGAGTGACTTTGATAGTTTCAAAATTCATCGATCGCTTCTTTGTCACAAGATCCTTCATGAACTTTGCATAACCAGCATTAGCTCCCAGCCTTCAACTAATGGCACATTGATTGAGATACTCTTATTGAATTGGTTTTCACCATTTTTCTTTGCAAGTCGTTGAGGGTATGGAGGTGGAGGCTTAGGCAATGGTGCCTTAGCCTTTTGCACTACCGGTTCCGGCATGTCAATAATGTGATCCCTAAACAGGTTTACCTCCTCTTGAGTCTCTTCCACAGTATCATCAATATCAATCTGAACCTCATCATTAGATTGCTCAACATTGTTCGGGATCTACTCTTCTTGCACCACTTACTCTTAATCGACAAGTTGCATTTGGCTTGAGGTAGGTGATTTCCCACCTTTTCCACTTCTTGTAGTAACGACCATGGCATGCCCCGTTTTGTTACCACCCTTTGGGTCCACCACCGTGTCACTTGGTAGTTCCCTCTTAGGACGAGTATTTAGAGCTTGTGAGATTTTCCCCATTTGAACTTCTAAGTTGTAGATTGATGTATTGTGTGTGGCAAGTTGGACGTCTAAATCGGCATTCTTCTCCATCATTTGTTTGAACGTATTCTCAATACGCCCCATTTCATTGTTGGAAGAACTTGGACCATGGGAAGGATAAAGATACGGGTTACTCAGTTGTTGATACATCGGGGGCCTTTGAAAGCCCGATCCCCGGTTGCCTTGATTATTGTTCCATCCCCTTTGATTGTTACCTCCCTAATATCCTTGATTTTTGCCACTCCGATTACCTTGATTATTTCCACCACTCCAATTTCCTTGATTATTGTTGTTATGAATTTCCTTGATTGTTTCCACCACTCCAATTTCCTTAGTTGTTAGAGTTCCAATTACCTTGATTGCTTTGAGGTCGCCATTATTGTTGATTCGGGCCTTGGGAGTTGTTTCTTTTCCCTTGAAAGTTGTTCATATATTGCACCTCCTCCTCTTGTTCATTGTAAGATTCATCTTGATCAAACCCACTATCCTCTTGCACATAATTCCCCACTCGATTTTGCACTTGCGGACCCTTGGTCCTTCTTTTGTTCACCATCATGTTCACTCCCTCCATGGCATTGACTTGCTTAGGATTTTGCACTTGTTGAAGTTGAGCTTTTGCTAATTGATTCATGGTGGTGGTCAATTCGGCAATGGCTTGCCCATGGTCATGAAACTCTTTATGAAAGTGAATCATGTTCGGATCACCTTGTGGAACATTATCCCGTGATTGCCATGACGATGATGTGCCGCCATTTCATCCAAAATCTCACAAGCCTCCGCACAAGGCATTGTCATAAAATTTCCACCGGCAAGGTTATTCACGACACATTGGTTGGTCGTGTTAATCCCACGATAGAAATTTTGTTGAATCTTATTCTCTGTCATATCATTGTTGGGACATTCTTTGTCCATTGTTCTATACCTCTCCCATATCTATTGTAGCGGTTCATTCGGCTCTTACTTGAATGCTAAAATCTCATCTCTAAGAGTAGCCATATGCCTGGGAGAGAAGAACTTAGCAATAAATTTCTTCGCCAACTCATCCCAAGTACGAATGGAATGGTTCGGCAATCGTTCCAGCCAATCTAAGGCTTTCCCCCGTAGAGAGAAGGGAAAAGCCTTATCCTCAAAGCATCCTCGGAGACATTTGTTTGTTTACTCTCCCAACAAGTGTCCACAAACCCTTTCAATTGTAAACCCATAAGGTTTACACACTAGGGTTAGGTCACAACCTTAGTAAAAATCTTGCTACTCATAGTGGGTGTAGAAGAAAACAAAGAAGAAAAGATAATAAAACTCATATTGGAAGATTAAAATAGAGAAATCTAATGTTATATCACCAAAATAAGCTAAATTTTCCTAAAACAGCAAAGAGAAACGATAACAGTACTTCAAAGATTCAAAACTTGACCTAATTTCGTGAAACACGTCTATTTATACAAAGCTGGAAATCTCAGACAAAAATACCCCTCGAGAGGTTCTGCGGCCGTAAAATTCCATGTACGGTCCGTAGATTTCTTCATCTAACAGGAACTGGAGCTCTGCAGCCGCACAATTCTGAACTGCGGCTTCGAGGCAACTCTTCTGCAGTCCGCAGATTTAGGTCTACGGCCGCAAGGCATTCTTCTACAGCCGCACAATTCTTGTGTGCTCCGCAATTCTCAGAGACTCTGGACTTGGTCTTTTTGCACACTGTCTGATCTGTGATCCTTACCTCATCTTTCAGGCCGCACAATTCATTTGCGAACGTACAAATATTCTTGTCTTGCAGCCATAGATGGATATCTGCAGTCCGCAATTTCTTCTGCAGACAGAACATTTATGCTCCTGCTCCCTTTAATGCCTTGTGCCTCGGACTACTCCTTTTTGAGTTGTATTTCATCTCGGGAGATCAACTTCTATTATTCCTGAAATTTTGCACAATTTCTTTAGTTTCGGGAACACAGTTAAATGCTTTTAGACTAAAATAAAAGCTAAAAGGCGCTAATAAGTAGTCAAAATCCCCACTTATCAAACCTGCTCATTCCATCACTAGTCCCGTTTGTGGCCTCCCGAATAACCTTCGATACCCCTAGTACCTCTCTAGCAGCTTTCCTAATGCAATTGGCTGTTGTGGTCCACATACTACTCGCGTCCCCACTACTCCTTCAGGCCCCCATGGCCAACAGCTTTTCCCCCAACTCCTGCGCCTTTGCCTTAGTCAAGGCTCCCCACTTAATCTTCGGTTGTCCGTACAGCGCTCTCTTCTTCCTTACTCTCTTGAACTCCAAGTCCATTACTAGGAGTCTATGCTGCATAGACAGACACTCGCTCGGGATAACCTTGCAATCAGTACAAAGGCCCCTATCACCCCTCCTAAGGAGAGAGGTAATCAATCTGAGTCTTGGCAACCTTACTCCGAAAAGTGACTAAGTGTTCCTCCCTCTTCTGGAAACACGAATTAGCTATCACCAAGTAAAATGCTTTAGCAAAATCCAATAAAGAGGTACCACCCTCATTCCTAACTCCGTAACCGAACCCGCCATGCACCTCGTCATAACCCCTAGCAGTCACCCCAATATGGCCATTAAAATCACCCCCAATGACGAGCTTCTCGAAGTGTCGAATACCATGCACAACCTCATCCAAATCATCCTAGAAGCGCCTTTTGACCTCCTCGCCCAGGCCCACCTGAAGCGCGTAAGCCCTAATCATGTTTAAAATGACCCTACCAACCACTAGCTTAATAGTCATTAGCCTATCATTCACCCTCCTAACGTCCGCCACCATCTCCCTGATATCTCTATCAACTAAAATACCTACCCCGTTCTTGCCCGTTGCTCCTCTTGAATACCATAGCTTAAACCCGTTAACATCCCGTGCCCTCGTACTCTTTCATCTAGTCTCCTGAACACAAGCTATATTAATTTCTCTCTTCTGAAGAATCTTCCCTAACTCTATAGACTTACCCATCAGTGTCCCTATGTTCCACAGCGCCACTCTCAGCCTACTAGATCTCTTACCCCTCTTTCCGTCCTTCCCCCTGGCCCACCCGAGGACATGACCCTACTCTACCATCGTTCCGACTAGCCACCCCACCAACAAAGAAACTAAGGACTACAAATTAAGATTAAAACTACTGCAAATGCAGACAAGTTGAAAAGCTTCAATATAGACTAAAAAAATTTCTAAATCACACAAGAGAAACAGTGACACAACTAATGGCAGTGAAAGGTAAGAACGCAACAAAGGCAGGCAAGTAATGCAATAATCAAGGGTAAAAGGCAGGCAACAAAGCTATATACACGCAAGACGCAAATACGAAGCAGGAATGATAGAACCTAGAATGTCTGCGGATGCCAAAATGGTGTTGACCAACAGCAGCTACAGTCCAAAAATACCTACACGTCGCCCGCTTCCAGCTGCCCGCGTCTGGGCCTCACTTACCTCTTAAGGATCGCCGGAAAATTGCCCCTGTGCAGAATCATCTGCCGCCGCTGCTACGCCGAAAAATTCGACAAGCAGCACTCCAGGAAAGGACAGAAGACGACCAAGCAAGCCTAGCCACCCAAGAAGAACGCCGCTGCCCGGCGGAGATGCCCGTCGACAGAGAAAAAACGAAAAACAAGAAGCAAACAAGAAAAACACAAAAGCTGGAGAAAAGAAGATAGGGGCAAAGGAGAAGAGGGAGTGTGGATGAGGAAGAAAGAGGAGGCAGAAACAGGGGGGAGATAAAGAGAAGGGGAGAAGGGGGGGGGGGGAGGGCAGATCCGACGATCTGGGATGGAGAAAGAGGAGAGAAGAGGAGAGGAAGGATGAGGGAGAAGAAAAGCAGGGGAAACATTAGAGAAGGGAGGAGGGGACTTTCCTGTCTCCGGTGGAGGTCGCCAGAATTACGCTAGCGTTAGCAGAGGTTAGAGAGAGAGAGAGAGAGAGGCGTTAGTAAATAAAAAATTATAACATTCATTTTTTCGAATAAATAAAAATTTTAAGCAATAGTATTTATATTTAGAAGTTAAAATTTCATCTCTCTTTCACTTCGAATATGGATAAATACATATCTCGATTAACTTCACCAATCACAAATTTTCACAACAATATGTTGTTACATTTTCGTATCTTATTTGTTAATTTTTTCCTAACAAACATACCCTAAACCTTTTTGCTAACCATAGTCATGGGTGGATCCAGCTCATTAATCACGCGTTTATTTGGACCTAATAGTTTTGATTTGAACGTTGTCTTTGTATTAAAAAATCTGTTAAAAAAAATTTTAAACTTTGTAAATCAAATGCGTTATAATAAAATTTCAAACTTGAACCCATAATATTCACATCGTAAATTCGCTTTCGCTCATAATGGTTCCAATAATTCCCTTACTCTCTTTTCTCATTCCTTCTCAGTTGAAAACCCTTTAGCCAAAAATTACACTACGTATATAAGGTCGTGTTTTATTTCAATATATTAGATGTTGAATGAATCCCTTTAACTTCTTCTCGTATTTACCTTTTTTTATTTTTTGAATCCCCTTGATAAAAATCTTGATTCTGCCAGTTCTTTCTTCTATCGCCCAAAAATTTTTTGGATAGGATATGCTATACACGTAAATGTCAAGTTGATCAAATTGCGGAATAAATAATAGATTTCTGAAATTAACTACTACATTAACACTAAACAAGATAAGCAACACATTTTTTAGAGTGTCCTTTTCCCGCCTACCACACGCTCATACGCCCAAAACCAAGAAAGTTAATAAAAATGGGATTTTAAAGTGTACCCCCCCCCCCCCAAAGTCCTCCACCACTGGTCTAATTACACAAAGTTCATATTCGACATTTCCTTTTCGTAACGACAAGGAGGTAAAGACGAACCTGAGTGTATTAAACAATGATGTAGATCAAGATAGCTATCAAGGAAAGGGCACAAGAACAATTTATGGCTACTTTTATAATAGGGTGGTTAGATTTGTAATTTCGCTTATTTAGTTTGTTTAAGACTAGCTTAGGAGTATTTGAGTCATTATTAACCCAAATATCAACCATAGTATAGATAGTAGTATTTTATTTCCAATTTATGGAATTTGGAAGATGCTAGGGTGCATTTAGATGGATGAATAAGCCAATTGAATCCTTCTTTTGTGACCTCTTCATTAATAAGTTGTCTGTCCTAAGATTTAAAATTTCCTAGCCTCAAAATGCATGTTTTTCACCTTTTCTTTCTGATTTATCGAAAGAATTTTTTACTTATAGTTTTAAATATGTCATAATATTTACATGATTATAAAAATATATCATTAAGGTAAAAAAAATTTAAAATTAATTATTTTCAATCATTGATTTAATGATATACTTTGTCATGATAAATCATGTTAGAGTGCACGGCCAAGATTAATAGATGACCCCCATATATGGGGGTGGGGTAGAGCTAGTAAAAATTATGATGTTGTGGTAAAAAGAGTTAAAAATCTCATTTAATTTATAAGTTTCAATCTCAACAATACCATTGTAATATTTTCATGAATAACTTTTTATAAATTCATATCTTCCCCCTGCCTATATGACTTCTATCTTATAAAAGAACTTAAATTGAGAATATTTGTAATAATAAATGTAACCACTAGATATTTATATCATGTTTACTACTAAGCCAGCAAAGTGGCTGTAGTTTAGTGGTGAGAATTCCACGTTGTGGCCGTGGAGACCTGGGCTCGAATCCCAGCAGCCACATTACATTTTGCACTTTTGCACTTTTGACCTTTTGTTGGAGCTTATAGTTTAGTCATTAATAGTGATTTCTTAATAATCAGATTATTACTTAAAACACTAATTATGAACTGATTTTTGGAAGCTAGTCCTATGTTAGGTTGCACTAAAATGGCAGAAATTTTAGATGAGACTCGTCAAACTTTGTTAGAGCCAGTTGCGCACTGTTGGAAACTCGTAGGATAATGGGCGCATCCCTCAACACTTCTCCACTTAAATATTACGCTTTCATGCGACGTTTCTAAACCTTATACTAATAAGAAATATAAGAAAGCTAGTAATGAGAAATAATGTCATATAGATACAGCTTTCTGCTGAATGAAATACTTAGTAAATGCATATCATGAACTAAGCCTTATAACTCCACTCATATGGGAAAATAACAATATAATTTACCCTCTTAAGTCTCATTCAATCACGTTATTCCTTCCTATTAGACATAGATTTAACACGATATACAGACTTTTTACACCATCAAGTTAAGTTGACCTGTAAGAGATAGTAATTGTTTCACAATAGACGGCATTGCACCCGTCTATCTTGGTTGCAGTTCTGTAATGGATACTTCATTCTCGGACAGTAATGGTATCGACTTGCTTGTAGAATATTGATCTGATTCCAGCCCTTTTGGTAGCATCTCTGATCGACTACGAAAAAAGAATGCAGGTTGCTGAGGCGCCGGCTTGGTAACAGAGTAACTATTAAGCATGAGCACCACAGATTCCATTGTAGGTCTTTGATTAACATCTTCTTGAACACATAATAATCCAATATGTATACATTGTATATCACTTCATTTCTTGAGTATGACTCTCCAAATGTTGGATCCATTATATTCAATCGTGTGCCGTCCCTCCAATTCTTCCAAACCTACAAGATTTATCGATCAAATGATTCAAAGTTAGCATCAGCAAGCGACTTATATATCTAGCAGAAGCTGCATTTATAACTTTAACCAAGAAAGTCATAAGCTATCTTTTTGTAACCAAGAAGTCACTCAACTTTGCGATCATAGAAAGTCACTAGTGGCGGCCAGGGGCAGATTTAGGGGGGTGGAAGGGGGTTCACACGAACTCTCTTCGCCGGAAAATTACACCGTACATATAAGGCAAAATCTATTTTGTGCCTATATATATTATATTTTGAATCCTCTGCCCAAAAACATAGCTCAGTGATCAAGGGGGTTCAAAACCTTTATGAGAATGCTGGTTTAGTTCCCACTGGCCATAGTCCTTTTTAATTTTTTAACTAATTCTTTTTTGAACCCCTTTGTGGAAATCCTGCCTCAGCCACCGGTGGCGGCAACACCTTCTTGTGCATGATTATAATTAGTGACTTAACGAGTTAACGTGATACATAGACAAAGTTGAGCGTTTCTATTATGAAAAGCAGTTTAGTGACTTCAGATGATACTTGCAAAAAGTTTAATTATTCTTTCCTTAATTTAGTGACTTTTTAATAAAATGAACGTTGACTGACCATCTATGAAATTTACCCTGAATGTGAACTTACATAGCTAAGAAGATCTTCAGCTCCATCTGATTGGTAAAATGAGCTGTTCTTCTTTCCACTTATGATCTCCAAAAGTAGAACACCAAAGCTGAAAACATTAGATTTAACAGAGTATTGTCCATGCATAGCATACTCCGGCGACATGTAACCGCTATAGTACAACAAACAATAAGAAATGTTAGCTAGAAAAAGGGTATTTTTAAAGGAAACCAGACCTTTAACAACTTCCAAATTATAAGTGGAAGTTACAAATGTGCCTATATATTCAATGATTCAATGGGCAATGTCAAAAGAGCAACATTAGAATCTAACTACACAGGAAAAGAGGATATATTAGCATAGCTAACTCAAAACTTACTATGTCCCAACAATCCTGCCTGTTATTTCTTCACTTTGATCAATTCCAAATATTCTTGCCATTCCAAAATCTGATGTTTTGGGATTCATATCTGCGTCTAACAATATATTGCTTGTTTTGAGATCACGGTGTATAACTCTTAGACGCGAATCCTCATG